TTTGTAGTTAGCCTGGCCAAATATTTTAACTAAATAAATAATTCTGTCAACCAATTACACATACTTTTTAGATGAAACGTCCAAAATAATAGTAAAGGATACCAAATTGTAATGGATAAACTATATTCATTCTTCTTGCTTTGCCCGAATCAATTTCTCTCTCACCTAATTTCTTACTATTGGCAATTAATAAGATAAATGGATATAATTAAAAGATATCTCGATTATTATTATATATTAAGCTAAAATGCTGCTTAAAAAAAATAATTAAAGACTAATTAAGGTATTTAAGATTTTGGTTATGATCCATAAGTAAATATATTTTTATTTTATTATTTATATGTTGGAAGATATATTTTTTTACGAGTATAATACGATATTTTTCTTCTTCTGATTTTGTTTTTAGTTTTGTAACTCCCTTGCAACCATCCAAATATCAATACCATTTGTTGGATTCAAATTGATGAAATCTTAATGTTTATCAATATGTAGAGAAAATATTGCCTCATTTGCAATTAGACACGTTTTCGGTCACGAAATAACCAATTTGTAACCAACTATGGTTGGCCAAAAATTCAAAACAATAACAATAATTGATACTGGAGCTTCGTAGTCAGTTGTTACACCGACGGTTACTATTCTGGTCCGATTTCAACCGCTGGTTTTCGGTTCAGATCGTCAGTTATTAATTATTCGAATGCTAATGCTAAAAATTAAAAAAAAAATCATTACAAACTACCGATTTTAAAAAAAGCGTCGCGTTTTAAAAAAAACGCGGTTTAGACAGTTTCTCACCATTTATTTTTCTGAATTTTGAGAAATCATTAACCGTTTTTTTTTTGTTCCCCTCCCAAAATATTCAAAAAACAGTTATTTTTTTTCTATTTAATAACCAAAGCTTCGTTTACAATTTCGACATTTTGCAATCTGTAACCGAACTGCCAAATTGTAATAGGAATCAGAGTCAATGGTTAACAGAACCATTGATGGACGATTTGAACTACCAATTTGGCGGTTAGTTTACGAACCTTGAACATGTCTATCTACAATATTTTATATTTTCTTAAAATAATTATAGCC